TCTTAAAATAGCACAGGAGCCTCACGATGACACCATGTGAAAAGTCCTCTGACACCTCCACAGGAATAACTGTGCGTCTGCTTTTGTTAGTACATGGCATGTCATTTTTTAAATCTCCCATCATCACGCAATTGCTTCATATATTTTTTGTAGGATAATTGATATTTTAAGAAAAGCTTGAAGAACAGCCTGTAATCTGAATGATGACAGCAAGATGTTTTGGATTACGGGCAGTTCAACAAACGACACAAGTAAATCGGTGTCAATAAGCAGGAATTTAAATCCCATGTGCACCTAAGCACCGGAGTATTTTCACCTCTTGTCCTCTTATTACTTTACTTTTTAACTCTTTGAATGAGAAGTAATGATGGCAAAGTGTACTTGCTTAAAGCAACATAAACAGTGCTAAAGAAACGCAGCGGTGGTTTCATGAACATCAGGATGAAGATAATGATGTCCATGGTCTTCCTGAATCACAAGTTCTAAAGATACTTTATTGGACATTCTGAAATGCATTCAGGAGTAGATTCCCAACACTTTATTCCCAGATGCGTGTCTTCTGGAAGAAGCATGTGATATCACACTATGCACTGTTTAGGACTTGTATTATAAAAAAAAAACACTCCTTCAAGGACTGATGGTCTTCTAAGGCCTTAATATCAATATATTGTTGGGTATTTTCATAGTTTTGTTCATCCCCTGTATGTGGCAATTCCTGAGTTTGTAAGATACTCTGTAAATCTCATTACAGATTCGTTTCAGCATTAATGGTCAATATCTAGAGGTGCTTTATAAACTACATGAGTTCACATGTCCTAGTTAGACAACAGTCATACCAGTTGTGAATACCTACTTTTAGCATTCCATTTAAATTTTAATCTCTCTATAGAAGGTCCTGTAAGTAACTCACTATAAGATTAACGACAAAGAAATCCTTCATCACCTAAGTTTATGCAGTAATTCATCACACCGTCACAAATCATCTCCCTACTCACGACCTTCATACTGTAAGCCACAACTCTACATTCAAACAATTAAATATTGTCACAACTACTAATGTTAATGTAGCAGCTTGCTCAACTTGGCAAAGTGGTAATCACAAGACATTTTAATTATATAGAAATTCAGTAGAAGAATATATGTATTCCAAAGAAAGGAAATGGGTTTAGAGCCATGTTGATGGATGACTTCATTTCTCAGGTTATTCAAGAGTCTGCAAGAAGGAAAAAACCTTCTAATATTATCTCTGATAAGTAATCTTAAATGAACACAACTGATTGAGCACTGTCCAACTGGAGGTATCAGAAGATGTCAGTTGGGCCATGGTCAACTAAATTATGGTGCCCTCCTGCTTATATTGGGGGAACAAGATAAGACGAGAAGGTATGGGGCTGACGGGAGAGAAAGGAGGATAAAATGACACGAGATAGGAAGGAGAGGTGTGTAACCGCGGCTGGTTCCCTTGTTTACCACTATAATGTCTTAAAGCATAGAACTTAGCAGAGCTAACCATACAGATATCTTAGCCATAATTTTATATAGTTAGTGTAAGAGATCCTCAGTTTAACATATATAAATAATTGAGAATACAATATAAAATAAGGATGGTCTTGGAAGCAATAGTTTTGTCTTTTTAGATATTTATTATGTAAAAATATAAATATAGACATATAAAACCCATTATAGCAGAGTTTATAAGATTAAACTAAATGCTTGCAAATATCATTAATAGGTTAACATACCCTTCTGAACATGTTATCATGTCAGCCTGTCTGTCATTTTAAGATGGAGCAGCGTCTGTCTCCAAGTCTCTCCTCTGTTTCTTAACATTTAAAAGTACACCTATTTATACCTTAGGTGTCTCCATTTTAGGGTTACCGTAGTTCATATATGAAAAAGTAACACTTCTTTTACTTTATTCATTTTAGGACCTCCCTTAATTTGGCAAACATACAAGGCCATAACTAAAGGGTGTATACGTCATGGAAATTTTCCTGACTTAGTTCAAGATGGCATCTTAAAGTCTGAACATCCTTATCCACTAAGGTTACCCCAGTATATTACGTACTGAAAGAGTCATAGCATAGCCTTGAAGCTTGTTTATGCATTATTGTTATTGTAATTCGTCTGGGACAAAATGGCGCAAACACATTATGCACTGAGGTTATTGCTTAAAGAAACATCTATGAAAAACCATTTCTAACACCTTGTCAGTTTGCAATATCTCTTAAAGACAAAGTACACAGTTTAAGAAATACAACATTTCATTCTAAAACTTGTAATATTTGCATTTGCCCATAACAGGTGGTTAAGGTGACAGTCAGAGTAGATAGCATTTCCACAGAAGATGATGACACACTGGAAGGGGAGCTCGAATTTGATGTTACTGATAAAAATGAGACAACATGAGACTGGAAGTGGAGATGAAGGGAAGCTTGGGGCATTGAATGAGATGCAAATGCATTTCAAATATTACTTTTAAATTGGTGCACTATATATATGGGCATATTATGCCAAAAAACCCTCCCCCCGCCCCCATCCCACTGCTGAAGTAACCCTTTAACAGTGTCAGCAGAGGTACTGACACAAACTCCCAGTAATCATGTGAGCTGATTGCCATTTAAGTGTAGCAGATGTTTTTATTTAGCGCTTGGCCTTGCTCTGCACTAAAGTATCACATCGAGATTACTGAAGGAAAGAGAAGCCTTGTAGGCATTTCAGAGAGAATTACTGGTATTCCAATATTTAATATGTACTTTCAGAGGTTGGCAGATAAGAAATATGTTGCTGTTTTGAATCCCAGGGCTGCGTTACTGTGGATACGTACGATCATGCGGATTGTCTATTTCATTCACAATACGGGCTTGTTTCTTTACTAACAAGATTATTTATATTCAATTGACTGGAATTGAACAAAGATTTCTAATGTTATATTGAAACAGCCAAGCCTGAAAAATTCTCAGACAAGTCAGAAATTTTTCAAATTCAGCTATTTTGGCCTTTAAATTCATGTTGAGTGGTTTTACATGCTTCCTGGTGACATGTAAATTGTTTTATTGAACAATACAGCCTAAGTGAGTGGACATAAACTGAGTTGTGTGTAGGTCATTAGTAATTAGTATACCTGTGGAAAAATTTGATTTAGTGCATTCGTCCCTTGTCGTTTATATTCCAAATAAACTGATTAGTCTAACAAAGAATTGGAAGAACAAATCCATAGGGGTTAGTTCTAGACAAGCCATAAGCAAACAGTGATGGGTGAATTGATTCACTAGTGGACAAACCAAGTCTTTGGACATGTCTAGTAACTAGCAAGAATGAGGAAGGTGGGACCGAGAAGGCAGTGTAAAGATGACGAATGATGAAAAACATTTTTGCAAAAGTAATACCATATTAGGCATGCAAAAGTACAGCTAAACGTTTAAGGAAAATTATACTGTTGGACAATAAAAATGACAGCATGTCAATCTACTGACTGAGCATGATTTCATAGTCAAAGTAAAAGTTTATAGGCTAGCATCATAATTGTGATAACAGACTAGGAAGGCACAATGTCGTTTGAATGAGCTGTAGGACACGTCTTTGCAAAATGACACACAAACTGATGTGCATAAAAAGGCATTGAAGAGTCATCTGAAAAGTCACAGGAGTGGAACATTTCTTCATAATGTGTAGCACAAGTACGCGCATTGACCAAAGTAACGTGACATGACACCTGCTTTCGTCCTTCTTTTCATTAGACTTGGAGATCTGTTTCGTTACGAACTGCTATAAGTACGAATTTTAGACATTCAGGTGATCGTCTGAATTCCTGATTTTCAAAATGCCATATCGAGCAGCCACATAACAAACGACTCCTGCAATGGACAAGCATGTTTATTTTGATTTGTGGTTTTATAGTTCCACCCGTAGCGCCAAAAAAGACAGATGACTGATGGTAAAAAAGATGATCGATAGTTAGGGGACAGCCACTAAATATTGATTTTATTCACAAATCAAGTAAGAAGCAAGCAACAGAGGGACAAAAAGGGGGAGCAGAAAAAAAAAACATTTATATTTACATATTATTATTATTTTTTATTTTTGTTGTTCATAAAAAATATAACATACAATTTTGAGGTACCCCAACAGCAATCCTCAAAGCAATGATCATGTGGTACACTTGGGGTAGTAAGTTAGACATGCACAATTTTATAATATTGGGGACAGGAATCTTTATGAAAGGAGTTAAAGCGGGACATAAGTCGTGTACAATAACTGCAGATATGAGAAACTCCTAAGCGAGTCAGCCAGTAAGAGTGTTGTGTGATCCAGCTTGAAACGGCTGAACGAATTGTTGGAAAACATGATAAGTCAGGCTTGGTATGTACATGTATACTACTGTAGTGTCAATGAGTGAGAAACCTGATTGTTGCAGGCTGAATTAATTGGGTACTGAAGTAGGAAATATAATCAACAGAGGGACAAAGAGAGGAAAATATAAGATAAACAAGCAGTAGTAAGTATGGTTTGCAGAGTGTAAGACATAGGGAGAGTTCTCCCGTTTTGCACCCAGGCACAACCTGTGAGTGGTATAGCAGGTCAGTCTCTATAAGGTCAGCCGATGCCCAGTTTGGAGGCTGCGGTTACATGGCTGGAAGTTTCGCTGATGTACCTCCATAACTGCTCCTCGGTAACCTTTGTATCCTCATGAGTGTCCTATTGCAGCTTGGATGAGGTGCCCCTCCTGCCCTGAGACTTTCTTAGAGCCATGTTCACTGTATTATGGACTCGCCGCCATCCTGGGGCCAAGTCCTTCCCTTGTGTGGGGCTGCGTAAGGTTGCGCTCTGTCACTTGTGTAGATGTCTCACTCTCCTCCGCAGGCGTGAGTGGTGTGTAGGGGCTGCACCCCTTCTAGCTCCTTTCCCAAGTGGGCCAGCAGTTTTACAGAAAGCAGGCTTAGTAGTTGCTTTGCCCGGTTGGGGCCTCTTCGGCTGCACCCCGGTGTTACTCTTTTCAGGGAACGGAGCTCTTGCTGGCTGTCGGGCTATTGGTGGTCTGACCCTGGTACTGACCGGTGACTTTGCTGGTGGCTGTCGCCTGAATTCCCAGAATTGCCTGCAGACATCGTCAAGGTTTCTGCCCAGTCACTGGGTGTCAGGCGTTCTTCGCATTTAGTGGAGCCGTCGGCTATCTTGATCAGGCCTCGTGTCTCCCATCTTTCAGATGTGCGCTTTGGAGGGAATCGGGGGTGAGTGCTCTCTCTGCTTTGGTGGACCAGGATGACCCCCACCGGTCCAGAGGGGGGGGGGGACGAGGGCCCTGATGCAGGTGCTCGGTTTGCCGCGACAGCAGTAAAGCGTCCGTCATTCCCGCACCTGCCAAGCCCGTAGGCCCCATATTGTCGTCGGGTGAGTATCTCTTGAAATGGCACTCGAGTGGTATCATCTTGTGCAGTGCAAGGTCACCTCTCGTGTGTTCACCTTATCCAATCAATTTAATGCCGTTTGGGCATTGAAATTATGCTTTATTCTTTGCGTGTGGTAGGAGCTGTTAAGCTTTGCTTCTTTCCAGCTCTGCGGTCCTATTTACATATTATATATTTAATAAATACCTATAAAAATAGATTTATCAGTGCTCCTTTTCAATTTCCCTTTTTTTGGTTACATTTTCTCACTTGAACGATGAACCAAATAGCGAGAATCCGTACACTGCAAAATACAGATATATTTCAAATTTTTATGCATAAAGCCAACTTTTTTGCTTTTACTACCTTGAGAGAAATGCTTCTACATATTTCCATTTCCAAAAGCTATTGTACCATCTACCCTTTTAAAAACGCCTCCATACTCTTTTTTTTTATTCATTGTTACCCTTGTTGGAACTATTACAATTTATTGTGTTGGACATAATTTATGATGTTATATTTTCAAATTATTTTAAAAAAGCAGAGATTATCAGAGTGCTATGTTTTTATTTGTATTTATTAATCTATTAATTTAAATTTGGATTATATAGCAATGGAGTTAAAAACGATATCTCTTTTAGTGTAACGTTATCTATGTAACTTTAACTACCTAGATAATTCCGAAGTAAATATTTTTTTTTAAAAACTATAGAGAACTCCCATAGCAGGCTTTTTATAAAATATATATATTTGTAGTTTGGAACAAAGGCCGAGACTTACATAAAAAAGTCGGATGTGGTGGGCCGGAACCAACAGTCAGGTAGACCTGCAAATAAAGAGGGCCAAAGTATTTATGAAAATTAAAACAATTTTTATAAATACACACATTACACATGCCTCTTTACGGTATATATTTAGTTTTGGACAGGAAAACTAAACGTTAAACATATATCATGCTCTTATCACCCATGAAGCATTTAGCACTTTCAAAATATATCTATAAATATATAAGAGGAATGAAAAGAGAAAAAAGAAAAGTGGGAAATAAATCTTTTATAATATGAAATGTGAGAAAAGGGAATATCGTTCAACATATAAAAATCTAAGAGCGGTTCATCTGTTATATGGCGCAATGAATCATATAAAATATTAGGATAAACTTTAGGCCGGCCGGAGTTAATCGTTAGGTTAACTCAACACACACAGAGTCTATACATCTCGAGGGAGACTTTCACAGATAATAAATATTAAAAAAGAATATTACATAAAAACAAATAAATTATTAACAGTGAATAGCGAATCCAGAATGACAAAGAGAAAGGGATATGATATTTCATAGAGGTAATAACAATTAATCTTAGATACAATAATATATTTTAACAAGTTTGCCTTTGTTTGTTATTGTGACTTGAACAATTTTAAAGCAGACTTGTTGAAGTAGTTTTGTTGTATTTTTTTTTCTTTCAGTTTTTCTTTCCTAATGTCCTTTGTATTTTAATTACTATAACCCCCATCACCCCTTCCCTTTATTTATATTTGTTATCTTTGTTAACTTCCTTGCACCGGATCGCAATATGTGGGTTCCACCATTTTGTTCTCCTCTACCTGTGATTTCCCTTCTGTGGGATTCTTTGGTTAGATGGATTGTGGGTAAATTACTGAAATGTAGCTTCACTTAAAGGCAAAACTCCAATCCCCGTGCCAACTTCAACAGACAGAAGTTGATATAAGGTGAGGAGTGTCGGTGCGACATCTTACCGTCAGAGGTTAAACTGTTTTCCAGCGGTTTCACCCTGAAGTTGGTCTCTGGTTCTTGTCACCGCTGTCTCCTCAATTCTAATCTCCGGGAAGGTTTGCGGGGCAGTGGGCCAGCCTATCTGCCCTATTATGTACTCAAACCTCCAAGGTAGTGAATAAGTATGGGTAGGCGGACCTTCACGGGGGATGTGCCCACCCATTGAAGGGGTGTGTCAGTCTGGCGTCAAGAACCCAACATATGGGATCACGCAGAGAGCCCTATTGTACAGCGCAAGTGCATCTTATGTGGTCAGTTCCCTGGTGTCCCCAGATGTGAGACACCAGGGAGCTAAATCGGGACATCATTAAGGATTCCAAAATAGGTCCCACTGAAAGTTGGGAGTTCGGCATACTACTTCTCTAAAATATAAGTAGGAACCAGCAAGCCATTTCATTGTGTTCTGATATAACTAGTTAGATAACGTATTTATTGTTAGAATATTTTTTTGCAAATCCCAGATTCTGTGCATTGCACTAACCCCTTCCCTTCACATGAGGTTCGTTAGGATCATGAGATGCAGACAATTTCATAATGTTTCATGTCGTTGTGTATGTCTTTTCTGTTTCTTGCTTCCTCCGCCTCCTGCTGTCATTCCCATTGGATGATATATGCAGCTGTGTAGGTGATTTTCCTTGTCTACGACCAGAGCTTTGACTATAAAGAACCTTTTGCGACCTTTTGTTCCCAGTGCACTCATTACTTCATTTGTTGGTTTAAAGTCTGCACTTGTTGATTAGTCAACTCACAGTTAATCATTTTATCCCTATCCCCTCCCCATTCCTAAAATGTTTTTCTCTGCCATGTGTTAACTCAATAAAGTATGTGGGGTTTATTTGCTTAGCTCCAAATTGTAGCAAACTGGAATCCAAATATCAAAATTCAGGTGGAAATAGCCACGCCGTGTCTACAGTCGAGTTGTAGATTTTTTTTTAGATGTTTTACCAATTCAGATTTTAATTAGCTACAGTTCTGAGTTTAGCAGATAATTCCCTTTTTGTTTCTCTATTTCCCATAGCAATATACTTATCTCTGTAATTGTGGGATTGATATCTGGATTTTCATTTAGAGCAAAGAGCTGTCACGGCATGTAGGGACTAGTCTTGAAAGAGACATACCAAGCTGCTCTCGATGACCTTAGTTTCCGGCTGTCTGTCAATACTTGAGTGATTCAGCAGTAGACTTGGAGAATTGTTTAGTTCCGAACTGCACTATGTCTGTATTTGGGTGGATTGGGTGATCGATAAAATTCCCGAACTCTGAGCCGAAATGTAGCCAAATCATAAACATAACGAAACGCACAATGGCCGAGTATGTTCATTTTAATTTGTGATTCTGAATTCCGTCGGTGGTACCACAAAAAGAGATGATTAATGGGAGAAAGAATGATTTATGGAGAGGGAGCAGTCATTAACCGAGAGGAAAAAAGAAGGTTCAGCAAAAAAATAATCTATATCTATAGATAATCTATTTAATATTTTGCACCCTTTTAACTCATTTGATTCATTATCGAAATTCTGTCAAGCCAAACTGTCATATGGCTGAAATTTGGTCATCCTGTATGTTTTTAAAATATTCTAATACTATAGTTCCGTCAAAACGAACTAAGTCTATTCAGCAGTGTCCAATGATTGGCAGGCTAGTCGAGCCGAGCGAAGGAACTCCATATTAACTGATCGTTATTAGAAGATACATCGTTCATGAATTTTGGCATGAAATCCAATATCCTGGGGTTGTCAGTCAAAATGTTTTTTTTTTAACTTTATAATTCCCTGGGAAATATGTATATATATTTAACAGCTGCACTTATACTGTATTTATAACACTTTTTTGTTAACTCATTAATTTCATATAAGGATAGGGAAAATCAGAAAGTGCCAAATAAATTTTCTTTTTAAAAGAACACTTTAAGCACTGCAACCAGATCACTATAGTGATCCTGGTTCCTCGAGTGCCTTGTCACCCTTTTAGAGCATTTTATTAAACTATTTTAGAAAGGTCAGACAACTTACCTGCGCCACATCTGACTTCTCCTACCAGATATCAGAACTAAGCAGGTCCAGCACAGGACTGCACTCAGTGGTTGCGAGCACTCACCGGACGCTCTGAGCCAATGTGAGCAGCCCTTTAAAACCCTGCTTAGTTGAGCCGGAGCAAAACAAGCTACATCCAGGATCATCCACTGTTCCAAAATAGTTTGACAAATTACTCTAGGATAGTACTTTAGGAACAATAACCACTACAACTGGCTTCCTCTCATACATCCATGGGATTGGGTTGACAAAATAATTTGTAAAATAAATGGAGTGGAGAGGAGCAGTTACTTTGAACTGATCTCAATTGTGATTAGTTGTCAGGGGTCAAGTCCTGGGGAAAAAAGTGTGGGAACTCTCCCCCAAAAAAACCAAAACACTTGTATGTATGTGTATATATATATATGTATGTATGTATGTGTGTGTGTATACACATATATATATATATACACACACACGCGTGCACACACACATACACTCACACAGTGGTGTATTTTAATTTTATGCTGCCCTAGACATGACTATAGAGCACCCCCCTAATCTAAATTTACCACTCCTTCATGTCAAGGGTGCACCGCTTCTTGATTAAGAACCCACCCCTTCCTCTTTAGACTCCACCTTTTCCTGCTCCTTTTAAAGAAATACTATAGTGCCAGGAAAACAAAGTTGTTTTCCTGGCACTATAATTCCGTATAGTGCCCCCCTCCTCTCATGTCCTCCCCTCCCCCACTCGACACTGGAGGGGTTAAAATCCTATGGGTATTTAGCAGATGCTGGATGTCCTCATGCACAGGGTGAGGACGTCCAGCATCAGTTAGGTGACTTTTGGTCACCTAACCACCCGAAAGTCCCTCTAGTGGCTGTCTGATAGACAGCTACTAGACTTGGAGTTACCCCTCAGGTAATTATTGCAGTTTCTGAGAAGGTTTAAGGGGACTGGGAC